TGTGCACAATTGATGTTCAAGACATTTCAGACAACTCTGAATTTCTCACCAAGGAGGCCGGGTGCCTTGGCTCACCCCTGTAATCCCAGGACTTTGGGAGGCCGGGGCAGGCAGACCCCTTGAGCACAGGAGTTCAAGACCAGCCTGGGAAACATGATGAAACCCCATCTCTACAAAAGACACAAACATTAGCTGGGTCTAGTGTGCACCTGTAGTGTCAGCTACTCAGGCAGCTGAGGTAGGAGCATCACTTGACCCCAGGGGGTGAAGGTTGCAGTGAGCTGTGATCATGCCACTGCATGGGTGACACAGTGAGACCCTGCCTCAAAAAAAAAAAAAAAAAAAAAATTCTCACCAAGGATGAGAATACCAAGCAACCAGGCTCAGTCAAAAAAAGTTTGCCTGTTAGTCTTTTTTTTATGTTTAAATTTTGGCATAAATCTGGAAGCCATAATCAATTGCTAGTAAATTCTGACTCAAACTGTGCTGACTCCCTGCACTGAGCTAAGACAGAAAACTATCTTGTCACAGTTTATATAAAATAGTAGGTATCTCTATTCCATAGAAATACAACTCTCTTTAGATATAGTCCCCACCTGATATCAGATATATGCCAAGAACCAGCCGGCTATTTTTTCTTCTGAAAAAAAAAAAAATCTTTTTTTCTGGTCTTTGTTGGGCAGATGGGGGTGGGAGGAGAATGAAAAACCAAACTCCCAGTTCACATCTGGAAGCCAGGCCGCTGAACCAGTTCAGCTCAGATAACTTGTCAACTGGTCACAGTCTATGAGATCAGAAACAATACTTTTCAACTAAAACATTTTTCTCAGGGTAAATTTTCATGACAGTCCACAGATATTGGAGTCAGGTTTGCAGTTGTGGTTAGAAAGAGGAGTAGGAAAGCCGCCTGTCTCCACTTCTCAGGGTTATGTGCTAGAAACAGTGTCTGGCATTTGGTCTGCATGCGCTGATCAATATGAGTGACACCCAGCAGCCTCCTCATCAGGGAAGAGGTAAGTATTGGGAGGCTCTTGCTCTTTGCAATAATCTGATAAAAAGCACTGGCTCCCTGCCCCACACCCAGTAACCACAACCTTTCTCCCTGTGCCTCCCAAAAGAAAAGACAGGTCTCAGAGCATAGAATGTCCCATTTCAATGAAGCTGTATAAGAGACTGGGTCTCATTCTGTGTATCCACAATGACCTGGAAACTGGGCATGAAGACACTCGAAGGGGTAAAGGAAAATACCTCCCCTCCACTCCCCATAAAACTGCTTATAAAGAAAACAGAAGTAATTATGGAAAAAAATGCTTAAAAACCTAGAAGGCTCTATTAAAATGAGCCTCACATGGATTCTAGTTTAAGTTTCCAAGACTCAGGCAAGAAATATCCATGTTTAAAATCTTTCTTACCCAAGATACTTGGTATAGCCAGTATAATTGTCCAGAAACCTAAACAACCTCATCTAGGGGACTAGTGGCTTCTTTTTAATTCTAATTTACTGCAAAAACTGCATTAAAATAGCAACAAAGGAAATTAGAAAAGAAAAAATTTCCCCATTCCCACTATGAACCATGAACTTGCTTTTAATCTCATCATTTGCCTTCCAGCTCTTGTCCATGGGCCAAGGTGATTTTTTCTTTTTTTTTTTTTTTTTTTTTTTTTTTTTTTTTTTTGAGACAGAGTCTTGCTCTGTCACCTAGGCTGGAGTGCAGTGGCATGATCTCAGCTCACTGCAAGCTCTGCCTCCTGGGTTCATGCCATTCTCCTGCCTCAACCTCCCCAGCAGCAGAGTAACAGGCGCCCACCACCACGCCTGGCTAATTTTTTGTATTTTTAGTAGAGATGGGGTTTCACTGTGTTATCCAGGATGGTCTCGATCTCCTCACCTCGTGATCTGCCCACCTCAGCCTCCCAAAGTGCTGGGATTACAGATGTGAGCCTGGCCAAGGTGATTTTTACATAGCAAATAAGTGTCTCCCTAATCTTATTGTAAAAAAAATATTTGCCAAGTAACTTTGAATATACCAAAATCCCATAGTGATCAATCTAACCACACTCTGAGCCACATCTTCCAGTTAGACTTATATTAAGCCAGTCTTTTTTTTTTTTTCCTAAAGATTCCTATTTGTGTGAAAGCAAGCCACTCCCAAGCAGATGTGAATAGCACCCAAATACCCAACATGACAGAGCTGGACCATTAACTGCCCGTGTAAATCATGTACCAGCTATGCCAAGTATCTCCCAATATATGCACCAGCTATATTTGCCCCTCCACATCCACTGTTCACCTTTCTCCTCCCTGTTTTGTACCCAGGAAGCCTGCCCTGCTTGAACTGAGACTTGGGCCCCTTTACCCCCTGGCTTCCAGCTGAGTTCAGCCAATGGGAGGCATCAGCAGGAGACCAGAGGGCAGGAGACCAGAGGGCAAGAGGAGAATGAGATCAAGATATTTATTCCCCTCGCTTCTTTCCTCCTGAGTCTCAATGGAGTGGATATATTCTTCTGAAGGCCACAGATCCTCAACTCCAACTACAGCTACAGCTCTCAGGGCTCAGTAGCTACTCACTTCTGTAGGCTTTCCACAGTTGCTGCTTCCCTTAACCACACCCACAGCTTTGTGATTAAGCCCTTCCCCTGCTCACCCTCGTGAGCACACTGTCGAGGCAGAACCACACTCCATGCCAGCTACAAGGTGTTGATTCTTAGATGGCCCCGTACTTGACATTATCCCAGATCTGCTCTCCTTCAGTCAGGGGAATAAACCAATAGTGGACATCTAGAAATTACTTCAACTCAGCTCCCCTAGCATGAAGGCAAAGTACTCTCACCCTGCAAGGTCTTCAGGAAATGTATAAAACTTGTTCTCTATGGTTTATCTTCTGACTGCTCTATTTACCTGATGCAGAATGAATCATTTCTTCACACCTAAGGGTTTTTTTTTAAGTATCTATTCAGCCTGTTTCCAGAAATGCTGTCCAGTAAATAATCTTTTAAAAAATACTTTCTCTGATTCGACGTGGTGACTCACGCCTGTGATCCTAGCACTTTGGGAGGCCAAGGCCAGTGGATTGCCTGAGCTCAGGAGTTTGAGACCAGCCTGGGCAACACGTTGAAACCTTGTCTTTACTAAAATACAAAAAACATTAGCTGGGTGTGGTGGTGCACACCTGTAATCCTGCCTGTATCTCAGCTCTGGAGGCTGAGGCAGAAGAATCGCTTAAACCTGGGAGGCAGAGGTTGCAGTGAGCTGAGATTGCGCCACTACACTCCAGCCTGGGCAACAGAGCGAGAATCCATCTCAAAAAACAAACAAACAAACAAACAAACAAAAAACCCTTTTTTTTAAGAAGTCAAGAAATGATTCCTCCAGTAGTCTTTTGGGCATGAAATAAAATATATTAATTTATTATTATTATTTTTGGTTGGAGTCTCACTCTATCACCCAGGCTGGAGTGCAATGGTGCAATCTCAGCTCACTGCAACCTCTGCCTCCCCGGTTCAAGTGATTCTCCTGCCTCAGCCTCCTGAGTAGCTGCAACTACAGGTGCATGCCACCACACCCAGCTATAGTGGAGACAGGGTTTTGCCATGTTGGCCAGGCTGGCCTCAAACTCCTGACCTCAGGTGATCTGCCCGCCTCAGCCTCCCAAAGTGCTGGAATTACAGGCGTGAGCCACCAGGCCCGGCCTTAATTTCTTATATCATTAGTCCAGGGTAGTGGGGTTGAGGGGAGAGAGCACGTGATGAAAACAGGTGAATTTGCGGAATTAGACAAGCAGAGGAAAAGAGCCACAGAAAATGCAGGCTGGTGGTAAGCGGCTAACAGTACGTGCTGAGAAAAAGGCTTCAGCACTCAGGAAGTTCTATTCCTAGAGATGTCAAATGAAATAACTCTAAGCAAGCCACTTAGCATTCCTTTAAGTCAGTAAGATTCTTTTTGGTTCATTCATCTGTAAAATGAGAACAAATTCCACTTATCTGGGATGACGATCAACATCAGAAGATTTCACATGTATGGATATCCCTGGAACCACAGCCAGGAAGTCCAATAGGAGGATCTAGCAGTGAAATCTCAACAACCTAATATCTAGCTTCAAATGAAAATATGCCCCTTGTTAGGTAGTATTCCAAATAAATCATTTACAGAGGGAGTACGTTCAGAGTTCCTATTTCTAATAATGTGGGTGGGTTTGTAATGAACAAGATTCCCACCTCTTGCTGTCTGCTTTACTTTCTAAGTCAGCCCCTGGGCCTGCACACAATCCCCCCCCCCCCCCCCCCCCGCTTTGTTATTTTATCCAGCAATAAAGCCCCGCGCCCAGGGCCACACATGGGGCTGAGATGAACATCACAGGCCCAAGCTTTGTGGAAAATGGTCTTTCAGCAGCAGCATCTGGCTTCTTGGCATGCTCCCCCAGCTGTTGCGCTGACAGCTCTGAAGTTGCTTTTTACTCTGTCATATGGTTCGGCTGCTAATGGGCTGTCTCTTCTTGCTTGTCCTCCTCTGGGTCATTTTTCTTTTCAAACTCACATTGAATTCCAAGAAAATTGTACACCATGACTCCCCTGCAGGGAAGGCCCCATCCCTAGTTGTCATGGCATTCAGAGAGAGCTGGGCATCCCACATGGGGTAAGTAGTCCCAACGCTTGAAGGGGAAACATCTAATTATACCGCCTGCTACATTTATTCAAGGATGAATTGGTGATTGGGTAACTTGACAGCCACAGGTGGCAGACTAATATAAAGCATTATTTGTCCTGGTGTTTACACAGGACCCATTGCCATAGTACCCAGGGCTTACACAGGCACATAATTTTGACACAAAAGGCCACAACTAACTTCTCACAATTGGCAATGCTGTTGGATTCCAAGTATTTTCTTCTCTCAGTGTCAATCTGAATACCCAAATGTGAAATATAGCACGTGTGAGTGGTTTCTGGGACTCTGAGCTCTCACATCTGCAGTCTATGGAGTCTCTGCATGTGGAGTAACTGACCAGACAAGGGCGAGATGTCCAAACAGGAGCCTGGTTTCCTGAAACTCTCTGAGTGGCGAAGAAACCAGCATGCAGTTGGCTTCCAATCTGGCCCTTGTGGAGATACTCAGCGTCCAAATGAGCCCACAATGACCTATAAAAAGAAAAGAAAAATCATGGAACCAACCCAAATGCCCATCAATCAATGAGTGGATAAAGAAACTCTGGTATAGATCTACAATGGAATACTACTCAGCCATTAAAAAGAATGAATTAACAGCATTTGCAATGACCTGGATGAGATTAGAGATTATTTTTCTAAGTAAAGTCACTCAGGAATGGAAAACCAAACATCCTATGTTCTCACTGATATGTGGGAGCTAAGCTATGAGGACACAAAGGCATAAGAATGATACAGTGAACTTTGGGGACTTGCGGGGAAGAGCCGGAGGGAGGCAAGGGATAAAAGACTACAAATATGGGCCGGGCACAGTGGCTCACACCTGTAATCCCAGCACTTTGGGAGGCCGAGGTGGGTGGATCACCTGGGGTCAGGAGTTTGAGACCAGCCTGGCCAACACGGTGAAACCCCATCTCTACTGAAAAAAAAAAAATTAGCCGGGTGTGGTGGCAGGTGCCTGTAGTCCCAGCTATTCGAGAGGCTGAGGCAGGAGAATCAATTAAACCCGAGAGATGAAGGTTGCAGTGATCTGAGATGGTGCCACTGCACTCCAGCCTGGGCAACAGAGTGAGACTCCATCTAAAAAAAAAAAGGAAGACTAAAAATATGGTGCTGCTTGGGCGATGGGTGTACCAAGTTCTCACAAATTTCTGCTAAAGAATTTACTCATGTAACTAAATACCACCTGTACCCCAATAATTTATGGAAAAATAAAATTTAAAAAGAAAAATCAGCCAAATGTGCACCTGATTTCCATGGGTCCACGGTCAGTGCTGTTACATACAGTTAAGCAGGCTGAGCACTGCTCAACTCCAGACAGCACTGTATGCAGAGGCTACAACGCGAAGAGTGTCCCCAGTTTTGAACAACACAGTGGCCCTGCTCTGGGTAAAAAGATAACTAAGGAATATGGGCAAGGACAAACAATCACAAATTTAAATCCCCAAATGTAAATAACAGAAAGCTGTAAGGATATTTTTATAATATAAAATCCAAATCCCTGAAATAAGTGTAAATGAGTTTCTGGAGTGATGAAAGAGAGTTGATGTAATCCTAAAAGGTGGGATCATTTCTGGTAAAGTGGAATAAAAAGACAATGGCTTGCCGAGGAAGAAAGAGAAGACAATGTGACATGATAGCAGCAATGCAGAGCCTAAAACAAAATCATAGTAATGAAGAAGTTGGAGTTATCTCTTCGGGAGGAATCCTAGGGGCATCTAGAGTATTTGATGAGGTTGCTGGAACCTAGCTTTCTTTCCGCTCCCTCATTCTTTCATCTATCACTGTCGTCCAACTCCATTCATGCCTTCAATGAATACATGTTTGAATTCCCCAAGTGAGGGCCTACAGAGAACCTAAATATGAGTAAGAGAAGATCTCTGTCTTCAGGAGGTCAAAGTCTAACGGGGCAGTTAAGGCAAGTATATACGAAGGTATGGGGCAGCACGGGACCATTGCCTTACATGGTACAAAGTGCCACTGGCATCCTAGGGAAAGAGAGGTCGCTTCCAACAAGGGTAAGGAGGGAAGTCTTCAGAGAAGAAGTGGCGCTTGAAACTTAATCTTAAACAACTATTAGGATGTCAGCTGGCGGAGGTGATGGAGAACACATTTCAAGCAATCAGCACCACATGAATAAAGGCACAGATGTCACAAAGCATGTTCAAGGACAGTTTGCTTAGAATAAAAGAACTCAAGGGGGGAACTTAATGCAATTTAACACTGGAAAGTTAGGCTGAAGAATACTGTTAAAGACCTTGGATGACAAACTAGGGAGTCCAAACATTCTTTTGAGTCCATAGGAAGAAAGTGATTGTTATTATTCATATTGTATTTAATTGAGCAGAGAATGAGGTAATCAGAGCTGAGCTTTAAAAGAGGCTTTATCTGGCAGCAAAGTCCTTATCCATCGGAGAGAGTGGAGACTAGTAGCCACCGGACAAATTAGCAGGTGGGAGGCAGCAAGGGGCTGAACTGCTGCCATGGCAGTGGGAATGGAAAGTTTGGGTTGGATGCCAACACAGCTAGGTAACCTTCTGGATATGGCAAGCAAAAAGGAGAAGAGAAAAGAACAAGCTGAGGTCTTAAGTCTGACAGAAGAGAAATGTGGTTACTAACTGGAGTGAGCAGAAGAGACATGATTTTCACTTTCACACATTAAACTTGAGATCTGGTGGAATATCTAGGTGGAGACACTCATCTGGAAGCTGGAATTGTGCTGGAACTGGTATGAGAGGTTGGATTGGAGGAGATGGGTTTTGGGGTCCTGCAGTCCTAACGTCAAGCCCTGGCTCTACCTCTAGCACACTCTATTCAAGTTATTTGGGGCAAGTTAGTAACCTCGCTAAGTCTCAGTTAACTCATCTGCAAAATGGGGATAAGAAAAGTATTAATACCCCCAGCATTGTTGTAAATATTAGATGAAATAATGGATGTCAGCACAGTGCCTAGAGCACACTATGCCTGCAATAAACAATGCCTATTGCTATTTTTTCTATCAGTCATTCCCTTCATTTCAGGGACTAACTCAATTCTTAATACTGTACCACAGCTGCCTTCCTGCCCTTGTGCCACTTGGGGTCTTTGTGGGGACTGGGCATGTAGCCCTCCTGCCTTCCTCTGTCCTCTGAAATCTGGGCCACCCTGGGTCTTGTCTGATTCACCCAGCTCATGAGCCCTTAGCTCTTCCCTCTGACATGGTCAAGGTTTGATAAATGCCATGTGCCTCAAACGTGCCTTCTGCCACAGATCCTAACCCTGAATTCCCAGTCCACTGCTGCCCACATCCTGCTGTGAAGATCATTGTTTAATCTGAGGTCAAAATGAGGGGAAATGGGCCCACGTCTCAGCCAAAAGGGTTTGACTTCAAGTCTTAGACAATATATTTCCTTACTATAAAAGTTGTAAAACATTGGGATAAAGTTTCGGTTTTACTACCCCCACCCTCATGCTCCCCATAGCACTTTGTCCATCTCTTTATGACAGAATTTATCACATTATGTTAGAGTTGGTTGTTGATGTGACTGCCTCCCCTGCCGAGCCATGGGCTCCTCCGGGGCAGGGACCAAACCTTATTCATCTTTGTTCTCCGAGCCTGCCATAGGTGTTCAATAAATACTGAAAGAGAGTTAGCAACAGCTTACATCTGTGTAGTTCCTTATGTTTTGCAAAGGCCGCTGAGGGAGATGGTGGAATCTGGCTCTAGAATGCTAAGCTATAATTTTTCCCTTGTTCAACGCACCTTGAGTAAGTGTAGCCATCAAAATGGGAAGAAATAACAGGACCACATGCCAGTTTTAAAAAGCAGCAGTTCCCATACTTTTGAGTTTCACTAATCAGTTTTTTAAAATAAGCTTTAAAAGCTTATTTTGAGGGTAGCAACATGGCGTACCAAATACTTATTTTGCCAAATAGATACATTAAAAAAAAAAATCAACTGCTTCTCTCTTCATTTCACAAAAGGAAGAAGATTTTAAGCCTCCACTCTCCAGAAAGGGATTGACATAAACTTAAACCCAGAATAAACCTAAGCTTTAGGAGAAGCTAGGGCACTGGTATGTTTTTTCCTCATCTCACCAAGGACAGTGGCCTGGTCCTGGCGCCCTGGCCCATGCTGGGACATCCACAGGTCAAAGCAGTGTCCCAGACTGAGGTATTCCTGGGAATCTGAAATTGCTCTGTTTTTTTCATTTTTTTTTTATTGTGGTAAAATATACAACATAAAATGTACTACTTTAAACAATTCTAAATAAAATTTAGTGACATTTAAGTACATTCAAATTGTTTTGCAACCATCACTACCACCTGTCTCCAGAACTTTCTCATCTCCCCCATCTGAAACTCTACCCATAAACACCAACTCCCATACCCCTATCCCTCAGCCCTGGGAAACCATCATCCTACTTTCTGTCTCCATGATTTTGGCTACCCCTAGGTACCTCCTGTAAGTAGAATCATACAATATTTGTCTTTTTGTGACTGGCTTATTTCACTTAGCAAGAAATTTTCAAAGATCATCTATGTCATAACTTGTCAGGATCACCTTCCTTTTTAAGACTAAATTATATTCGTGTATGTGTGTGTGTGTGTGCATGTATACACCACAACTTGCTTATCCATTCATTGATGAACATGTGAGTCGTTTCCACCTGTTGGCTACCATGCTCCATAAGAACTTTAATTTTTTTCCCATAACAACAATCTCAGATGTATAATATAAGCAGATTCTGAATCATCTTGCTAGTGTCTTACAACTGAGCCCAGGTCTGGAATTGCCGTGCCTGGCGTCTGCTTCTGCCTTCCCTTGGCACGTGCTCCACATGTGGCAATCTCAAGGTACTTCACATTTAAACACACTGGTGGAGGAATAAAGTCATCACAAGACTCACAGTAACATAGACATGCAGTGCTCAAAAGAACTTTTGCTACAACAGTCTGTATTCTGCTTATAGTGTGAACTAATGTGTTGGGTGGCCCCACCTTTGCACATCACTATGTGCAAAGTATGATAGGAAATAACCAACAGAAAAAAATTTCTAGACCCAATTCTAAGAAGCATTGAATAAAATACTCATTTGATGCAGATTTCAATGCACTTCAATGCTAATTGTACCTTCTAGTGCAGAAGACACCTTCCCATCATTAACTGATGCCTCATTCAAATTGGCATTGAAAAACTGACTTCCAGCAAAAGTTGGCTTTCATAGGAAGTCTGACATTTCTAACCTAGTAAACAAAGCCCTGAAGTTATTCATCTTTTTCTCATAACTTACTAGCATGTACAGAAATTTTCTGAACTAGCACCATTGAAGTTAAATCCTTTAATTTAATACAAATTAAATATAGGGTTCAGTCTCAAATTTGTGCTTCTACTGTTAGCCAGTGATTTGGGATTTAGCAAAGTGATATCATCCACTCTATTTGATAAATATTATTTTGAATAGTACTGGCTTTGTAAGCATAAGGAATGTATA